GCTTCTTTTTGCAATAGATGGAGGCTATTACAGAGTTCCACAACTGATCACACACAGAGAATATAGGCCTGAGAGATGCCCAGCCCTAAGTGACACATCTACATTGGAAGCTCTATACCTAAGGCTCATGGAACAAAGAGGAACGGGGAGTAGAAGGAATACTAATACATTCCTCATCTCTCATCACTGAATATTCTCATACAAGAAAGTGCAATCCACACAGAAGGCCACAACAGGCCAAGTTTTAGAAAATAAGAGCCGGCACAGCATGTGCCCCTGGATAGAACTTCTGTATTAATCCCCATCCACTCATGGCTCAGAAATCATTGTAGAAGAGGGGGTGGAAAGATTGTAAGAGCCAGAGCTGGTACATGAACATAAGAAAACAGAGGCTTTCAGGCCCCTGGGACTTGCTCATATGAACTTTCAAAAATGGTGACAGCATGCACAAGACCCATGCTGACACAATCAAACAAAACCCAGCATAGAACTGGGGAAGTGGGCAGCAGGCCCAAAGCCTAGCTGAAGACTATTGGCAACTGATTGCTATTGGCAGAGGGAGGGTAGAGGTTCTTTAAGAGAAAATTCTAGGTAGGCTGATTATGGCCCAGTGAATGAACTTGCACCTAGGACATCTGGATACAAAATGTTGACCAGATGGGACTTAACATATATGACAGAATGCATGAAATCCATTGGTGGGGCTAGGGAGGCATAGATGGGGTATAAATTTTAGTAAATTTATTATATGAAATGCATAAAATGCAATAAAATATTAAAAATAATAAAAATTAATGACAAATGGGTTTAAGAAGTCAGATTTTTCAATTTCTGCTTCTCTAAATGTCCTCAAAGATTCAATTTCTGTTTTTATTTTTTTGTTTACTTGCTTTTTTCTGTATCATGATTGCATAGACCTAATTCATGTTTCACTTTAGTCACTGAGGATGGGGCCCCTCCATCACAATCACCATTGGGTCCTATCTCCTGTATTACTGATAGCACACTAAGTTTAAAGAAGGGAAAAGTATTACAAAAACCCTTTTTAGATGTGAACTACCATAGTTAATCTTCAGCAATCCACATTGAAAATGACTTGGTTAGTGGTTGATGATACCTTTTGATGAAAACCATGGGAACTTCCTTTGTCTGGGCAGGCAGAAGACCTCCTTTGATAAGGAGAAAGTACTGCTTAACATAAAAAACATCTGGAGACTAGAAGTTGAAAATAATATTAAGTAATAATACAAGCTAAGAAGTTGGGAAGGGTGACTGCTTTAATGTGTGCTTCCTGACATACTCCATAAGCACATCCTGTGATATGGTTGCTTGGAGATCTTACATGGATCCCAAGCCTGCCTGTTTTCTAGTTTCGAACTCAAATCATAACCTTTTCTCTTTCTCTGTTTTCCATTTCTGTTTTCTGGACAACTCCTTTGACAAATCCATTGACTCCAAACTTTGTAGGGGCATTCATTCTGAAGACCCTACATTTCACCCCATCTCATTCCTCCCTGAATTCCAGAGCTGAGCCTGACTGCATCCTTGTCCTCTAGCTGCCAGCTCTCTCCTCCAGATTGCTGCTGTGATCTCTAGCTGCTTTCCTTTTATTTAATCTCTTAAGCCAATAAAACTGACCTCAAGGTTCCTTCTGAGTCTATGTGTGCTAGATTTTTTCCTAACATAAGAAGGGGTAAGAAGTGTATAGAAGGAATTTTTCTTTAATGATCCAATTCCTGTTTTACGAATAAAGACCATTTTCTCTTATTTTTCCTGTTATCTATTGTCCTTTTCACTATACTTCCATAACTTTGCTTGTCATCTTTATGCACATGAAGGCATATCCATAACATTATATCTGTCTGCTTACAGAATTCTTTGAGAAGAGTTAAATTGATATTACTATAGTCTAAATAGACCATGCAAAATTAGACATATTATAACATCTGGAATGATTTTTGAATAGTTGAGGAAGAGAACCTTTAGTGGATAATGTCTAAAATGCAAATGTCTTATGTCATTATGTGTTAACATAGTCCCTCTGGAGGGAGGAAATACCACACCTCCACAAAATATCCTATGAGAAAGCTGGTATCAAAAGGGATTAGGCAGGTGAGGCTAATGTAGAGAGTCCTCTATCAGGTAAGTGACAGATTATTCCCCCTTTTGTAAATTTAGAGCTGTACTATCACAGATTAGTCTGGGATAGTTTCAATGCATTTCTGTGTATTGTGTGACTATGTGACTAGATTCCTCCCTAAGCCTCTAGAAAAAGAACAGAGAAAAGATAATAGCTCAATATACTTTTGAAGTTTTATTTTTAGGATAAGAACTGATTTGACTGAAATGTAATCCTTGGAATAAAACTGTTCTCTGAATTCAACAACTTCTTTATAAGAAAATGATATGTGTTGCAATCCCAGAGCCAAATTATTTGGGAATATCTTTACCCTCTAATAGCCATTTATTACCCTTCTTTGTATATGACATGAACGGCTTTGTGAATATTAGGCAAATGATTTGGAATATACAAGCAGAGCACTAGTTTACTTTAGAATGAATTAATTTTGCAGACAACTAGTGTCCACTAACAGAAATGCTCAGTGTCTTCAGACAGCATCTGATACCTGTAACAGTGCTTTTTCCAAATTGCTGGCTCATCTTTCTGAGATTTTCACCAATGTACTTGAAAAGTATCTTGATTTATGGCTTTCTTTGCCCTGTTAGTATAAAAACTTCATGAAACCACTTCCACATTACAACATGGAATTTAGGAGGGGCCTAAATCTGTGTTCCTGGCCCATGGTCACTCATATTAGGCTTCAGAATAAACTTTCATTTATCCCCTTTGAGGTGAGAGTTGTGTTTTGCATAGACAGTTAAAATGGACATATATCTGAGATTTAGTTCGAAGAATTGACTTTTTCTTAGATAAAGTTCATGTGAAGCATGAACTGAGGTGATTAAAGATATATGTGATGTACATGAAAGTTAACATAGGAGGGGCATTGCTGGAAATATTTAGGAGCGAAATCTCTTTCACTAAATATCTGCTCCTCCCACGCTTTGTTTAGATACCATTTTATCAATGGTTAACCTTCCATAATGCTGCTGTTTCTGTCTAGTAAAATTTGAAAGGATAGTAATTAAATAGCAAAGTCATGGCAGCTTGGAGCCATTCACAATTCATAGAAAATTTAAGTAACACTTTATTACATTTTGTTTCTCAGTTCAGGTTGTTTTTCAGTGGCATTTTCTTTTCTTTCCCTTCTCTTTTCTTCCCTTTTTCTCCCTCATTCCCTCTCTCTGTCTCTTTCTCTTATCCTTCTTCCTTCCTCCATCCCTCCTACCCTTCCTCCCTCCCCCTCCCACCCTCTTTCTTCCTTTCTTTCTTTCTCTCTTTCTTTCTTTCTTTTTCTCTCTCCCTCCCTCCCTCCTTCCTTCCTTCCTCCCTACCTCCCTGCCTCCTTCCCTCCTTCCTTTCTTCTTCTCTCCTTTCCTTTCTTTGCCAGAAAGCAGATCGTGGAGGACCAACTCTATGACTCTTTAAGCTGTCAATGGGCAAAATTGAGCAACCCGTTAATACTTACAGAATATGTTAACAGAATATGTTAAGTTCTGTCTGGAAATAACCTGAGTATAGAGAGTCCACCATTGAGAGAAGTTCATTATAATTGACACAGAGAGCAGATCACTTAAGAGAGTCAGCCCTTAAGGAAAGTGGTGCTTTCCACCATGGATTCTGCAGCACAAGAAAGACACCAAGCAGCCACCTGACACTCAGTTCCATTTTTCTATCCTGACCTCTTCCCCACATTTTTCAGGATGTTTTTCTTTCAGCTCTGCACTATTATCTTCAACACAAGTACACTGTGTTTTTAACATTGATGTTTTAGGATTAATTTATACTTATATGTATAAATGTTTTGCTAGCATGTAGCATATGCAACACATGTGTGTAGTTCAAACAGAAGCCAGACAATGGCATTGAATTCCCTGGAACTGAAGCTACAGATGGTCATAAGCTTAGCTGTGAGCTATCACGTGGGTGCTGGAATCAAAACTGAGTCTTCTGCAAAAGTGGCAAATGAGTTTATACTGAGCCATCTCCCCATCCCCTGCTCATTATTGCTTTGACCAATGCAGGTAACATAAAGTTGCCTCAGCTTATTTGAAAAGTACAGCTGTGAATAAAAAATGTACTGCATTCTGGTGCTGTTTGTCTCCAGGACTTTGTGGTGAATTTTTGTGTCTGATGTCTTTGAAAACATGATAAATTGTGCTAGTGTTTATCTTAAGCAGAGGTGTAGATTATGGGATAGATTACGGCAATACCCATAGACATCAAAACACCATGGATTTGCAGCAGGAAAATTTGAAAAATCTCAAAGTTCTCCTTTCATCACTTAAAGGCCAAGGATCCATGTCTACTGTTTAATTTTTAAAAGACAATTTATATGTCCGTCAGAGTCCCTTCTATTCCAGGTACTTTAGGTAATTCACTATGCTATTTGAAGTCAGTCTGCTTTGATTCTGGATTTTGCCATGGATTTGTGAATTAAGAACTTAGTTGCTATCTACCACATTTGATAAATGGATCCCAAAAAAACTTGTGAATGTCTCTTATAAACAAAATGGTATTAATGACATAAGTATTACAAATAAAGGTAATATAAATTGTTTTACTTTAAATTTTGCTAAACTTCTATATCTGCAAGGCATTGAATTTTAACTAATGAGGGTTAAAATATAAGAACACATAGATATCCAAAATTCTATTGACAGAAAAGATAGTAAAGAAGAATGCCCATAATTGTGTTTAAACAAATGTCTGCAAAATTATGAAAAAGTAGAAAAGGATATAATGTAATTTTTAGTAAAGAAGAAGTAGAATGTCCCTTGTGAGGCAAAATTACTTTGCTTAAAATAGATATTACATGCTAAATTAACTCCATTTTTTGCAGATTACCAATTTTACCCTCTCTTTTGTTCATAAAACCATGATGCTGAATACCAATGTTTCCGAGTTCATTCTAATTGGATTGACGCAGGAACCTGTTAGGAAGACCATAGTGTTTTCCCTTTTCGTACTTTTTTATATGGGGACATTACTGGGCAACTTGCTGATTATCACTACCATCAAGACCAGCCAGGCACTGGAGAGTCCAATGTACTTCTTCCTGTTTTACTTATCCTTGTCTGACACCTGCTTCTCTACTTCAATAGCCCCTAGAACAATCGTTGATGCCCTAAGGAAGCAGGCCACTATCTCTTTCACTGAGTGTGTAATCCAAATTGTTTCATTGCATTTCTTTGGCTGCCTGGAGATCCTCATCCTCATCCAAATGGCTGTTGACCGCTATGTGGCCATCTGTAAACCCCTGCACTACATGACCATCATGAACCATCAGGTCTGTGGTGTGCTGGTGGCTTTGGCATGGGTAGGATCCTGTGTCCATTCTTTAGTTCAGATTTTTCTGGCTTTGAGTTTGCCTTTTTGTGGTCCCAATGAGATTGATCACTACTTCTGTGACCTGCAGCCTTTGTTGAAACTTGCCTGTTCAGACACCTATGTGACCAACCGCCTCCTTGTGTCTAATAGTGGAACCATTTGTTCAGTGGGCTTTATCCTGCTGATGGCCTCTTATATTGTCATCCTACATTCCCTGAGACACCATAGTGCTGAAGAGAGGAGGAAAGCTCTCTCCACCTGTGTCTCCCACATCATTGTGGTCATATTATTTTTTGTGCCTTGCATATTTATATACACACACCCTGCAACCACCTTCCCCATTGATAAGATGATAGCTGTGTTTTATACAATTGGAACACCTTTCCTTAACACTCTGATTTATACACTGAGGAATGCAGAGGTACAAATTGCCATGAGGAATTTCTGGAGGAAGACATTTATCTCAGCGGACAAAATATGATAGAGACTTGAATTGATATAGAAGCAGAGGACGTGACGTTCGGATGATTTGTTTATTATAGACCTATACTGATATAGGAGCATCAATTTGTTCAATAGAATAGGAAAACCGAATATATCCTTTGGTAAATATCGAACTATATATGTAAATAAGAGATAGCAGTACTTGCAGTCATCTATGTATGACCCTTCAACTTCAGGGTGTTCCCTGCTATGTCTCTGACTCTCCATACCTGGTATCACTTAGCTTTTGATCTAGGGTTTTTGTCCTTCACGTCAATGTCTCATATTGTATAACCTATGCACTTCCCATCTGTATTCACTCAATATATATCCAGCATTTTTTGGCTTTTCCATATCCCAAATAATTTCCTGTATTTTCAGATGTCGTTTTCTCATGAACCTTTTATTTAGTTATTGATTCAATGCAACACAGTAGATTCAAATGTTTGTAGAAATTTTCCATTTCATGTGACAGTGTTGGTGTATTTATACATTCTTCCTTTGGACCTGCTCCATATATTTTTTTTAATTATTTAATAACCACATGATTAGAAGCATTTCATTACAGCATTAACATATTCAATAACAATTTCCAGAGCAAAGATGTATCTCTTTCACAAGTGGGTGCAAGTATAAGCCCTGTAAGACATAAAATTGGATGAGTTTTTAACCTT